CACACACAGCTTCCATGCAGTTGAGGAGGAAAAGTAACTATTTGTCACTCTCTTGTTCCAAACAATTATGTTGCAAGCTAATGGTGTATTCACTTTAAGAGACAACTTATAAAAAGTCCTCTTTGAAGTATATCAATGTGTAAAAGCCTCAGTGAACTATTACACAGAAACTTATTAACACATGTTTTTCAAAAAGCTCTGAGGAAAATGAAAAATATTTCAAGAGGAAAAATAAATACTCTGTTCCTTGTTTAGGTGTACACATATAATCCTCAGCTAATCATATCCCTCTGTAATGTACTGTTCAGCACTGAGAGAGGCCATTACTGAGAAGAGATAACATAAGGTAAATGCCAGCAACAAAATGCTTCTCAACAGGATGAAAGAGCGACTGAACAGTGCATTTAACAAAATGACATGCACCATTACCCTGCAGCACAGCACTTTCAACAGTTTTGGTCAGGTATGGAAGAGAGGCCTGTTTAGAACAGTGGACATATTTGAGCTAATTATTTTTTATAGTCATGATACGGTGCCCTAAGATATCAAACAGCTCCCTGGAACTTTCCTGTACTATTTAATTATTTTCCATGAAATCTGCTGCCATTTAATACTGTACTCATAAACATATCCTGGTTGTCCTTGGACTTTGCTTTAACCTGTGTCACTCAAAACAGAGGTGTGTCAAGGAACTGCTAAAGAAAGTCTACATCTACTACTACATCTTAGTGTTCTTTAACTAACACCAAAACCGGATCAATTTCACAATTTTCTGCAGATTATTGAGGCGCTGCCAATCATTTAACTTTAATGGGTGGTCTCATTTTATTCCAAATTTTATTAGGAATGCCATCAGTAGCTATTCTTGAACAACTTCCAGTATACAGATTTTTATTTATAATAAATTCACACAGTCAAGGGATTATTCAGTAGTTACCAGCATAAATTCTAAATCATTAAGAGCACTGGGGCAAACAAAAAAACCTGCACCAGTTTTAGTCAACACTATCTGTGGACCACTTCTGAGTCTTATTACTTAAAGTTGTATCAATGTTTGCTATAACAGCATTTACTTAAAAAGGAGATTGAGAACTTTAAGCTGTCCATGGGTCCAAACAGTTTTCAAAGAAGACAAAGGACTTGCAGTGACCATTTTGTTTACAATAGTGTAGCTTCACCATTGGCTCCTTTAGTTCTCAAAACTATCCCACTCCTTTTCCCTCATCATAAAAAGCATTTAATAGATATAGCTTCCACTATTTCAGCATCATAAAAACAATGTTCTCTTCCAAATACAGAAAAAAACAATCTGCAATTCTTCTGCCAAGATGAGAGGAGATAGGGCAGAACAACATGGAAGTATTCTCTAGACTTCCTCAGAAATCAAGATAATCCAGAATCTTACTAGAAGAAGCATCCATGCAATTCAAATGCATAACCATTCCCAAATTTTCACAAGTAAAAAACCAAATGAAAATTCCAGTATATAAGAAATTTGTACCTTCTGTCCCTATATGTAATTGAAGTACAGTAGACTTCCTAAGCTTTCAAAATGGATATAACACTCTGCTTTTTTATCTACCAATACATTTATTGTGAAGTATTCTGTGCAGGATTGTTTTGGGTTGCTTATTTGGTTTTGGTTTTTCTTTTGGGGGGGAGGGGGGGGGGGGGGGTGTTCCATCATTTTATTGGTTTTGTGTTTTGGTTTTGTGTTTGTGGTTTTTTTAAAGTATTCATCTTCTTATACTACATTTCTAGGACACCACCTGTACGTTAAAGTGAAACTTGAAGATAAAACCCCATTTGCTGGAAAATCCTCAGAACCTGAGGGCACTGATGAAAGGCAAGCAGCATTTAGCTGATTTGTACAGAAACACCTGATATGCAATAAAGTGCATTATTTGATGTGAACAGCTTTGTAACTGCTTCCCTAGACAATAAAAAATCTAGACATTTGCATTCACAATTGCTTTCACAGCATTTTTTAAGGGTCAGACTGTACAGCAGCTGGTGCATCTCCTGCTTTAGCAGAAGTCAAAGACAATTTTTGTCACTGACAGGTCACCAGTAAAGAGCATGTGTAGTGCCTCAGAAAATTTTGGTGGATACTCTGTTGCCTTTGGATTTGAATATTTCTGTAAATGTTCAGAGTAAGTAAGTACAGTAAAATACTTTAAATCTCCTTAATGTTAAAAATAATGCAATTTTGATTTTTTACTTGTTTTCAAATAAATATAGGAAAATTTAGACACTTGAAATTAAGGTCATGCTGTATATATGACAATGGGATCTCTGATGAAGCTCTTAATTTTATTTAAGTAACCACTGAGAATGGCCTAAAATGCAGTCACAGGGAAGAGTAGGAGATAGGTGGGGAGATGGGGGGATGCAGTCATAGGGTAGCTCTCCCCTTAACCTAAAAAGTCTTATTTATCAAAAATACAACAATTTCACAAAAAACTATTCTCTTCTGAATACATTTCAGCCCACTAGTCACAATAGTCTCAATAAAGGAATCCCACATTCCAAACTAAATACCAAATTGGGCAAAAGGGAAATTTCTCCTTCAAATCTCTTTGCTGAGTCCAAATCATAAGATTCAGGGGACTGGCTGTTAATCTGAACAATTCTTTAGGCTGCCAGTCAGTAAGACCAGTATACCGAGTAGAAAACCACTGGTGCTTTAGATGAAAAGGTTTTCTCAAAATGCCACCTTCTTATGGATAGGGTTTTAATTCAGTAACTCCCTAGCTTTTTCACCTCAGCTTGCATATATGTTATACCATCTTATTTGTAAAAAAATTAAAATTCACCTATTTATAATTTGCAATCTACATAAATAAAAGACCACAAAACTCAGGAGTTTGATAATATAGGATGGCTGAAATTATGGATTTTTAAAGAACTATGACCTAAAATTCTTTTTTAAAGGTTAATCTTTTTAACAGCAAAGACTAATGGCTTATTCTTTTATTTTATTTTGCTTTCTTTGTATTAAATTTAGTAGTACCTCAGAAAACAGTTGTGGTCAAGGTTCCCTTTAAAACAGGAGTGATGACAACTGCCTAAGAGCTGGCTGCAGTACTGATCATGTTAAGAATGCAAATGTCCTTCGCATTTTGTCCCTCAAGGTTTTCTATTTCTGTACCACAGCTGACACCCTCACTTTCCATTTTCAGCATGTAAACAGAGACATGGAAATTGATGGCTGTATGAAGTTAGGTTTACATGCAAAAAGAATCATTTATTCTTTGCCTCCACTAAAAAAACAAAAATATGCTAGTATTTACTTTGGCTATCTCTAAGACAATAGCAAACAATAACAAAAATGTTAGGTACTACACCCTCAAAAAGCAATAAACAGCAGACTATGAATCTCATAAATATACAAAATTTGCATCCTGCTAAATGCATTTGCTTGATGATTAGAGTATCCCTACAATTAAATTCTAATTACCCTGCTTTGCAGTAATCAATTCTTATCTACATCATTAATTCATTTATTGGCTTCCTCTCTCCAACAATTTATTTGCTTGCCTGTGCTTCATCCTTCCTTCTTTTAACAGCATACATCATCCCCAGCAGTTTTTGTTCCTCCCACACTCAATTTTCTCTCTTCTGATCCTTTCCGTTCCCAGAGAAGGCTCCTCCCACCAATGAGTAGTTCCTTATCAACCTCCATTTTATAATTTAATTCTATATGTACCCCAAATATCTGCATCCCAGTATTGTCCCCATCATATAGAATTTAGTATCAGAAGCTGTTACCTTTCATTCATCTTTCACAAACATACAAAATGCAATAAATGTTTGTTTCTGATTTTTAAGTTTTAGCCAGGTAATAGCATCAGATCATACTACTTAATAAACTGCAGCTCTTCACTACTCTCTTCGAGTTATTTGTAAAGTGAATAAACATGTTATTACTGAATACAACAGACATATCCCTCTCTCCTTGAAGTCAGCTCCTCACAAGCATAGTCATTTAGACAGCTGGAAGACAGGGCAGCTTTGGTAAAACGAATCTGTCAAAATTAGCAGTTAAAAATGTTTTATTTTACAGTAGTAATTCTGAGAGAGAACTATCTGTAGCATGAAAAAGTGTGCAAAGCCTTGTTTTTGCTTCATGCTTTACATTTTTCTTTCAGTTTTGAAGATTCACATAGACCACTACAGTAAAATGATACTACAAGAAGAAAACTGCAACTATGACAAATTAATTTTAAGGCTAATATCTGGAACAAGTGGGAAACTGTCTCTGCTAACTGAATAACCCAAGAGAATGTAAAATCCCTGGATCCTTCAGATGAACAATAAAGGCATTTGCTTTTGACAGTATGCTCAGACACCGGGGCAGACTAATAAAGCTTGAACATATTTTCATTATGTAAAATTGTCCCTCAAAATACTCCTTCCTGTAATTTCCTGAAATGACCTCTTACCCCTCTTTATTAAGAGGGACAATATTTTCCTGTAAGGAAAAAGTTAAATTTGAAATTACAGTCCCAATAATGATGTGTCCTATCACTGTTTTAGTTATTCAGACTTTCTCTTTCAGATTATATGTATGCAGTTTAGTGTCTGATTTTACATTTTCTCCTCATTTTTTTTTTTGTTGTTGGGTTTTGGGGTTTTTTTTAAATATAAATATAAATATATGCAGTATAAAACAGAAAGTGAAATTCAGCTCTGGTATATTTTTCTGATATTTAATGAAGACCTATTTATCATTTGATTTTCCAAATTAAATGACAAATTATCCCAAAGTATCTTAGAGGTACACCTCTGTCTCAAGCCAAAAACCAGAAACCTGACTCATTCCCTACAGCCAATCTTTAAACATAATTAATAAATCACATGGTATTTCTGACTGGGGATGGTGTTTGTCAAGCTTACAACAGTTACCAGTTCGATGCAACTCCAACACTTCTCCAGAAGAAAAGACAGCATACTACCACATTCAAGAATTTGAGTTTCATCTGTGAAAAAAATCTTACTGGTCTGACATCCCCACATGAGTTGGTAAATTGCCGTGCTAAGCCGAAATCCAGCATAAAACACTTCCTACAGGTGCTTGGAAAACGTCCCATTGCGAAGTTTGACTAGGAAGAAAAAGAAATACAGACAGATAATAGATGAATACACATCACAGGTTTCAATATGTTCACATATTAATGCAATAACACAACCAGAAAATTCATATTCTATTTCTTTATCCTTCCATGTTTTAACTTCTACTGAACTCCAAATGAATTTGAAGAAAATGTTGTTAAGAGAAACAGGCATCCAACTTCGCAAATCTGAACAGTGGCCTAAATTGTCCAAAGAGCTTGTCATCTTACTTTATCATGTAGAATACATTAATTTTTATCAAGAATTTTCCAATCATGTCACCTACTCACAGAATTTCAGTGTTGCCTAATTGGTCTCAAGGAAAACAAACAATCAAGTATTTCAAGATCTGAGTTCAGCACAGAGCACAGTTAGCTCCAGCTAATTTTTTCTCACCAATTTCACTTGACATTCACTGCCTCTATGCTCTTTTCCTATTAAATGAAGGCTTAAATGGGGATGGGTCAGGGGGAATACAAGTCTTATAAGAAGTTGCCAGGAAGAAGTGATGGAAATGAAATTTTCCGAATGTACAGAAACTTGCTGGAAGTTTTATGTAAGCATCATTCAGCTGACAGGAAACTTAGCAATATATGTCAGATATAACAAACTGTCATCGTCATATTTTCTGGGAAAATCTCTTTGCCCGGGATTTTGCTCCTGGGAAGCTGAGAAGCCTCAGAGAAAAAAGAAAACAATAATTATTTGATTTGCTTCTCCTGTGTTTTGCTGCTTTGGAATGTGTTTGGACATTGTTTACCAACAGGTGATTGTTCCATTGGTTTCATGTGAATTGTTTTGACTTAATGGCCAATCATGGCGAAGCTGTGTCAGGGCTCTGGAAGGAGCCATGAGTTTTCATTATTATCTTGTTAGCCTTCTGTAAGTATCTTTCCTCTACTCTTTAGTATAGTTTAGTATTCTTTAATATAATAGAATATCTTAAAATAATAAATTAGCCTTCTGAGAACATGAAGTCAGATTCATCATTCCTTCCTCCCTTTGTCTGGGAACCCCTCAAATACAATAACAAACTATATTTGCATCTATTGAAAACACAAAGATTTGCTTACTTTTCCTCATTTACAAATTCTGGCACTTCAGAGTTCTAATGATATTTGTCATACAGAGCAATATCGAAAATAGGTGACTGAATTTCAGGAATAAATTCAAAGAAAAATAGAAAATAGTAAGAACAAAAGCATGATATTACCAGGAAGGCAGTCTCCTCATACTAAGCTATTAACAATAGATCAAATAAGAATTTCACAATAAAAAAAAATTTCCTCACACAGTCTGTCTTTCACATTCTTGTTTGTTGAAAAAATATTAAATACATATAATCTGCTATTGAAGGACTTATAAATACACTCTACAGTTAGTATCTATTCTTTTAGATTTATTATATGACAATATTAATTGCCATTAGTCAAGCAAATTATATCATATCTCATGCCAAATACTCTTGGTTACATAATGCTAAAGATAAGGGTTGGAAGTTTTAACTACAGCAAATTGCAAGGAGGGCTAAACTGGAGACAAAGACTGAAAAATACCAAAGTTACTCTTGTTGCAATCCAACATTAATTAATAGAAAAAAATCTGCCCTATCTGATGATTAAACATTCAATTTTCCATCCTTTCTCATTTTTGCATTTTAGCAGCTAGTATAGAAGCTATTCTTACTTATGCAGCCATCTAATGACCACATCTTACTTGCCTGTTTTGATTTAATGGGCAGACTTACTGGTTTTATGTCCCTGTGCAGGAATCCCACAGAATGAATACTTTCAATAGATTCCAAAATCTGCTTCCCAAGCCGCAGAGTGGTACTAATGGTGAACGTCCCTCGAGATTGGCTACGACGAAGGTCTGCCAAGTTCCGACCCTGATAAAATTAAAAGGACATTTAAAAAAAATACTAATCCCAAGATTCACAGATGCTGTAAAGTCTTCCTACTTCTTCTTTAGTGGTTCATGATTAACCATGAAATACTCTCAATACCTATTTTCACACTCACAGGTAACACATCACACCTAAATGTAATGACTGTATGTCCACAAGTATCTCCAACACTAAGTTTAGAATTTGCTTTTGAAAATGCAAACTTAGTACCTGCCTATTCCTAAAAACATGGAACAAACTAATCTCTATTAGAAGACCAGTACAACCACAATTACTTAAAGTTGTATTTTTGTCACACCCAAAAAAGGCCACTGAGAAAATGTTCATGAAGACTTCTTCACACTCACTTCTTTAAGGAAAAGTCCATAATTTAATTACACATTATATCAAACAGATGAAAAATATATTATGTAGGAAATGCAACCCCATGATAAGAACTGTTGTTGTTCTACAATAACAGATGAACAACAGTAGGAACTAGAACACACTTTGTTCAGTATTCATATTCACCAGGATGACAAAGGACATTAACCCCATAACTCTAAGCACTAAGCACCTATTTTATCCCTTTTTAATGAACAAGTCTTTTAGTAAAATGTTTTCTTTTACTTGCATAGGATAATTTTTCATTTTTATAAAAAAGCCAACAAAACACAGAGACTCATATAATACATTTTAGACTATCTTCAAGACTAAAAAGGAAGGTAAAATATCTCAGAAGACATCACAGTTCACTCTTCCAACAGTCTGGTCTTTGTCAGGATGCAAGCTTTCTCCCTTTTGAGAGAATTATGGAAAGGATATAAAAGGAAAAAGATATACGGATATGCTCAATTTACATTCACTTACTACAATGCATTTGTGATCTTTGGGGTTTCTTTTGTTTGCTTGTTTAGCATCCTCTAAAGTCTCACTGGTATATTCATATACACTTGGCTAATAAACCTAAAGACACAAGCAAACATTGAACACTTTGATACACTAACCTGCAACTGCATGACCACATAGTTAAATCTGTCATTCCGTCCACATCCTATGAATCTACAGACATGATCTTTTCCTAAGAGAAAAAGAAGCAAATTAGCCAATAATAATGAAACTTTGTGGTTTATTCCTGTAAATAGCTATGAAATTACTGGAAAATATGTAAAATAATAAATTCAGCCCCACGCAGTTCAACAGCAATAAAACCAAAGTTAGTTCTACCTGCAATTAAAGAGAAGCTTTCTCCCATAACCATAGCTCTCACTCTTCCATAAGAAAACATGCATGACATCATGCCTAAATGTCCACAAATTGGAGACATTTCAGAATGTCTGGAAAAGGTTATTTTCTTACAAATCTAATGGTTTGTAATAGACAATATTCCTAGCCAATATTCCTCTTTTCTGTAAGCTGCGGATGCCATGATGAAAGAAAACTGTAGTTTTCTGTGAGTTATGTTTTGTATTAAAAAATTGTAGAAAATGTAATTCAACTAATCTAACTTATTAATATCTTTCTCTAGAACACAATCATTGCTCTTTAGCTACAAAAGATAAATTCAGCCCAGGAATACTGTAAAAGGGGGAAAAAAATCAGAGTTTTGTTTAAGCCGACTTTCTTTAAAGCCTCCTCCTGTCCTAGGAGCAAACTGCAGAGAAGACAGGTCAAAAATAATCTCCGTGCTATCCCTGCAGTAGAAAATCAAAGCAGAAGATTCCCCAGGTAAATACAGATAAAAAGGCAAACCAAAGGCTGCAGCTGGAAACAGAATGGGAATGCAAACCTCTTGTCATTTTGGTACCAGTGTTCACTGACTTGGAGAAAAGCTGTGACCCCTTATGATCCCAATCTGCCCCACTCTATGACAGAACAGGGAACTGTAGGATTAAAGTTCCTCAGGCCATTTACCTTCCTTTCTCACACCAATGGAAGCTGCAGCCAACAGAAAGCTGATGATCTCAAGTGGTTGCTAAAGATGTGTAAAATTTGTCACCTATTATTTCTATCATTAATATCTTTACCCTTAGGATTACAAGAATGCCATAACCAGGGAATCCCCACCCCACTCATTACTGTTTACAAAACACCCTAATGTCTAGCTATAGATCTGATGGGACTTTTTGCTACTGCTGCACCTGTAGCTCCATCAAAACACTAAAACTTGACCCTACAGCTTCTAAATGTTTTCAATTCAATTTCAAACTTGACAGAAAAGTGGTTGCCTGTTTCTTGCTTCCTCAGGAAGCTGCCTGCCACATCCAATTAAAACAGGCTGGTAGGCTCTCTTAAACAATGAAAATCTAACAGGATTCATCAAAATAATTTATTTAAAAAGATATCTCTACATTTCTGCCAATACGTAAGTGCTAAACTTCAAGCATCACCGTTTTTTCTCCACTTTTTCCTTCCACCCATTTGTTCAAGTAAGACAGGCAATATTACAGACAATATAATTTTATGAAGAAAAAGGATTAGTAGCAAATTTATCAAGTTGAAATTTTGTATATTCATTGCTGTAGTTTCCATTAATGAAGTCTCATCTTAAATATTTATGATTAATTTTACAGCCACTTGTGGGTATTGTGAAGGAACATCTTCAGAGAAACTTACATTAGTCAGATTTTATCTGACTAATTCAGTAAATGTCTAAAACTCAGTTTAGTCAGAGAAATCCCTTTTTGATGGGAGCACCAACTCAATTTGTGTGGAAAATTTCCTAGAAACTTTTACAGAAAATTGAGGAAAGAGGAAGGACAGAAGTAGAACATAAATATCTTATTCAAATAGAATGATCCTCCACCACTCCAGTGGGGCTACGTCCACCTACTACAGCCTTTTCCTCAGCAGGAAAACAGTATTTTCTTACACCTGTGAGCTACACTGCTGAGCTGCAGAGTGAGAAGATGATGTTAATAGGCTGCAGGGAACAACTCTGCCCTTGAAAAATCTCCTAGGGAGGGTGCTAAGCCTGTGTGCCATTCCTCAGGCTGCTGCAGTGTAGCACTACAGCAGCTTTACAGCCTACACCAGACAGAGCCCATCACTAAATTACACTCCAGAGCTGTAAATGAGTGAGGGAGAAGTCTGTAAGGTTGTGTGAGACAGAAACCAACTGAGTGAGTCTTACTCTCACTGAGTGAGATGTGATAAATCTGTCTTCTCCCATCTGACTGTGGGAACAGATGGCCTAACAACATGGTTAAACAAAACAACCATCTGTTGCAGCAGATTTCTTTTTTTTTTAAAAAAAAAGCAAAAATAAGAAACTTAAAGAGTTAAACAATATTCTGCAACAATAATTAGGAGACAGCAGGGAGAAGAAAAATTAGGATGTAATTGATGACTAAGCTGTAATAAATGGCCGTATCAGTGAGCCTAGTCCTCCTTCACAATTAAGAGAGAAGCCATACAATTGCTCACATATTCCAGCATGCTTTGCTAGCTCAGAGTCTTAAAAAGAACTTATTTGAAGATTTTCATTAGTCATTGTACCATATACAAAGATACTACTTTTATATACTTCATTATACCACATAGTTATTACTCATTTACCCCCTGCAATAATGAACTGTTTTAATTTCAAAAGTTTCTGAAAGTAAAGAATGGTAAGAAATAGTGCATCCCTACACTTCTGCCAACATCTATTCTTATATCAGTTTCACTGTTTCTGTGAAGTAAGATTCTAGTACAGATACATTCAAAAGAATGTTTATAACCCTAAAAATGTCCCTAGGACTACTATAGATTAGAAGAACACACCTGTTGATTTATTCTCTTCTAAAAGCCTGTTTCTTCATAATATTCCACAAACTGTGCAATATTTTTTAAAACTCAGATCCACACATCAAGAAAATCTTCACCAACACTGCAAGCTCATTGTCTCTTATTACAGAGGAAACATTTCAAAATTTGAAATAAAAAGGACTTTCATGACAATTCTATTCCTTCCTCTCTATGGCTGATGTAACTACAACACCTTGCAAGAAGAGTACCTAAACCCATTGAGAAAAGGAGAGTAATTATATATATACTCATACATACACACACCAAAAAGGGATAGAAGAACAAGATAAAAGTTGGTCTTAGAGGACGTATGATAATACGAAGTTGTTACAAAAATATTCTAAAAGAAGTCTTTACAATTTCACTTGGTCTGAATCTTCATGAAAAGAAAAAAATTGTCAAAAATAAGACTAATTTCTACATTATAAAAAAGCATTTAGGAATAATAATAAAAAATCTTTAATAAGTCATTATAAAGTTGTTTTCTATTCCCCATTCTCATCCACTTTTCTTCATTTTCCCTATGCTTCAAATTTTTAGCTCTTCCATAATGAAACTTGTGACGGTAAAGAAATTAATGCAAATAGCTCCTAGGAGAAAAGATTTCCTATAAAACATAAAATGGTCCCTACTATAACCTTATTTAATAAAAAACCTTCCAAGTATGGATAAAAAAAGCTGCATGTAAAACTAAAGTACTGTATCTATGCAAATTATATATCACAATATATGCAAATGTTCATTGACACATCTCTTTGCTAAGTTTTCTGTACTGATCACTGACAATATTCACTGTCTAAAACCAGAGCAGTAAGAGTGTTAGGTGTAAACTTCCCCAACAATGACTGGAGGTCACCTCTAATGTTACTATCACCACCAACTTCTTTTTTTTTTTTTTTGGTGCAAGAGAGCAACAAGTTATAAAAGGTAAGGAATAATATATTTAGATTGTTTTCTCATAAGAAAGATTTTCAAAAGTGTTATTTTTAAAGATCTCGTATAAAATCTGATTTTCAGTTATACAAAAGCTTCCATTTATTATTTGCTCAGAGAAATAATACTGAGAAAATAAATAACAAATATTTATTTGGATTACATATTTTGTGGATTATTTGTCTCAGTGGATCTGTTGGTTGTATGTTTCATTGTTCTGTTCTTTTTATCTAAATGTTTTCCATTATTCAATACAACCAAAGACTCTTCTGTAGGAAGACTTGGACTGTTTGGAATTATAGTTTTCTAAATATTCCTCTGAGAGCATAACTTCTGTAAAGCCCTATGGCAATTTTTCACACATAAATATTTTATTATTTCATCAACTTTTTTCCACATGTATTTCAAAAGATAAAAAACTTTTGACTAAGAAAAAAATCCCTTTTCTAATATCTTAACTGAAATTCCACCATACTGTAATTAACAGTGGAAAGTTAAAATGCACTCCAGTTAGACAGTCCTATATAAGGTCATGATTTATAAATACATTGGCATTGTAGTGCTACCAAATTGCAGTGTTTTCTTGCAGCTCTACTAATTTCCTTATCATTTAGTTGTTTCATCTATACCATTTTAAGGCCTCTGGGTTTTGTAAAATAGAATCAAGCTCATGTGTACAGAAAAAGATCCACAAACTCTTGGAAAAAATAATTCTGAGCATTTAAAAACCCCAGGAGTTACAGAGTATTTTGTTCTTCAAAACTCATTGTCTTCAGCATAATTTCTTTCAAGAATCCTGACAAATGTTTTCCAAACTTTTCAACTGGCAATACTGAAATTTCCTATTCATCTCTGGACTAGAAACTTTAAAATTCTAAGAAAATCTCCCTGCTCAGCTATATAATAGTAGATGTTTTAGTGAAATCCTTGAAACAGACAAAAGCATAGGAACAGTTTGTTGCCATCATAACATGTGACATGCTTGCCCTCTTAAATCTATAGAGGCTGTCAATTCCTGCTGCAGTGTGACCTTTACAGCACATTAGGCAGCACCATATGTCATGCAGACTCTGTTTTATTCAAAGTAAGAGTTTGGAAAAATTGGGCTGCTGACAGGAATGCATGTATTATTCAAAATCTTCCTGATTAAAAATAATAATTTTTAAAGAAAAAGTAATTGTTTAAACTATCTTTCTGTTATCTTGTATTGTAAAAACCAATGAAGAGAAGTCACTGCATATTTCTCTGTATTGATAACTTCATTAAAGTATCTAAAGATACACAAAGTGTGACTATCCAAACTCTGGTTCAAGGAATTGAACCCTGGGAAGTATTTCAGGATTTTATATGCCAGTAGTTTTCTCATACAAGTTCCAGTATTTTAAAGCTGGGGCTTTTGCTTATGGGGATTTTTTAAGTAAGTTTCCTATTTCAATATTAGAAATCTCAGCAATACCTGCAAAGCAAAGAAAACAAACATTCTTAACGCATATGCTGTGTGACAGACCCTCAAATATTCAATGCTACATAGTACAGAAAAAAAAAATCTTAGAAGAAAAAAAAAAAACAAGAATAACAAAGTCTAGAGCAAAAAACAAAGAGAAGATATGGATTCAGAATAAACTAAATCTGAACCAAGATTTTTGCAGCAATTGAATTATTGTTTGTTTTATTTTCATTTCATCCCATTTCAAACAAAAGCTTCACTGCAGCAAAACTTTCAGCATCTGAAAGAGCTTCTATTCCACTTTTAATAATTTACTAAGAACGTGCAGAATATAGGAAATATTTACTAAAATATTATTATAATTACAATTCTTTTTTAAAGAAGATACACTGACAATCTACTTCTCACATATCCAAGGTATAGCCCTACCTTGCAGCTTCTTCAACACAGCTACTTCCATTTTCAGCACTTGCTTTGGCTGCTGAGCTGATTCGACCTTCAGTGCAACATTTTCCCGAGTAAGCAAGTCCAGTGCATCGTAAATTTCTCCAAATCCTCCACCTCCTATTTTCCTCAACTACATTGGGGAAAAAGAAAGAACAAAAACATATTTTAAAGAGGGAAGAAGAAAGAAAATAAAACAGCAATACTTCTTTGTTCTGCCTGTCATACTGCAAACCCTGTTTTATTGCAAATAGATTTAAAAATAATAATTATATCCTTCACTACATAAAAGAGCTACTGAATAATTGACCAAGGTTTGGCTAACCACAGTTTGGAAGAGAACACACCTGATCCCCATCTGCACTATTGTATATAGCATAATAGAAGAGTGCAGTAGTATTCCCAGCATGAATCTGGGCAAAGTCAGCATGCTGAATAAAGTTGTTCCTCAAATAGTCACACAGAGCCCAGAGATCTTTAAATACAAATGCACAGTGACATTTTTAAAATATACCATCTTTTTGTCCTTTCAGAAATATGCACACTGAATAATAATGGTATAAAGTCATACCAGTTTTTGGACTTCCTGAAAAGAGGCAGTATTATCTGTTATGTGGAGAGACTTACATACAGCAGCTAAATCATAAATTACGAGAAATGGCTAAGATTATCTTTGAATATACATCTCAAATGTTACTCACATTCACTTAAAATTCACCAATATCATTCTTATTAACAGACAGACTCAAGAAACTTGCAGCACTGAAAGTTTCATCTGTGCAAGAAAGAGGTAAAAAGAATGCTCATAGCATACTAATTAGTTTGCACTACCTTCAGAGCAAATATTAAAAGGTGTTTTTTTCACTCTGCTTTAAGTGGTCACGGGGAACAGGCACCTCTTTGGTTTTCAATATCAAAAATGTCAATGCTGTTTCAGAAAATGCCTCCCCTGGCTAACATTCTAAAGCTGATAAAAGAGAAAAGGAGACAAAAAAGAACTTACCCTAATACAGTTTTCTAAATGTCATCTGAAAGCATACAGTTGCTAACATTGTATGACTACACTGTATAAAATGTCATTTAACTGTCCAGGGGTCTAGAGAGCAGCAATATGCTGACCTATCTTCAGATTCTGAAAAGTAATCTAATGTCTCCTAATTAACACCATCAGACATTTGACTGAGCAGGAAAAACATTTTTTAAAATAGCCTAGGCTTTATGAATATAGAAGATAACAGACAACACATGAATTTTCAGCATAGTACAAGCACACCAGTGAGAATACACGGTGAAAAAGGTGAGCGGAAAAGGAAAGAGGTGACACAGCCATCCTCACCCCCTTACAAATGTAGGCACATTTATCATCTAACCTCATTTACCAGCTTTGAGAAATGGCCAGAACATGAAAGACTGCCTCTGAAAGCACTGTTTCTCTACATATGTGCTTAAAATAAATTTAAAACAAACAAAAACATCACTACAGTAACAAAATAAACAGATCAATTTATATCTTCAGCTAAAGTACACAAGAATCATTAACATACACCCAATAATTACACCACTCAGTAGTTCCAGGCACAAATTAACCTCTCTTTGATTACAGAAAAAAATACTTTCCATGTCCTTTGTCACCGAGTCACACACATTCAACAACAAGTCCGTGTTTTCTTTGGTTTTTTTTTTGTTGTTGCCAGCATCCCTATAGAAGCTTTTCTTGTTGCTTTTCACATCCTACACCAGTCACAACTGCCAGCTGAGCTCTGGCTTTCCCATATATTCATCACACTGAGGCAACATTTCCAGGGTAATCTTGGGCAGCCCATCCCTGCTCCCACCTTCTGTTCATTTGCATTTTGCTTTCCAGTTCACACAGGTGATGGCCACTCAACCATACTGGTCTCCTGCCACACCTGCTCAACATCTTTTACCTTGATGAGGACCACATTGTCCTTGTTTACACCTGCATTACAATTCCCCACTTTGTTCATTAGTTTCAGCCTTCTCTTTTTGCATTTAGCATCTCACACCCCAAACTCTTTCTCTCTTTGACTTCTGTGCCTTTATATGCTTCCAGGCTAAAGCATACAATTTCCAACAAGTTTTATCTTTTTGCTTACACTACATATTGAATGGCATTCTTTAACATATCTAAAATCAATTATCATTACAAGCAAGTCTCCAAGTAGGGACTGTAATAAATGTTTCAAAGGCAAAAGAGGCATGAGGAAAGGCATCAACAAAGAATAAAAGCAAATGCTAACAGACAACACTAGAGAAGGGGGTTGTCGCTGGGGAAAAAATATTTTATAATTTTTTATGCTTACTTTTCAAAATAGAATCACCCTAAATAATGTCTAGGTTAAAATTAAAGTAAATTGAACATGTTTCTTTAAAATGTTCATGTTCAAAAATTTTAGATATGGTTTTCACAACTGCAATGAACAAGGTCCTCAACAGCAAAAAAATCCAAAAACCACACCTCAGTTTCTTCTGCTGGGAGCCACTCCTATGAAATCCTGAATTCAGGAAGTCTATTGCCTTAGATGCCATAAAGAAATCCTTAATGTTTGCTACAGAAGATAAGAAATTGAAGAGCTACCCACAGGAAATTCTTTGCACTCATCTACCTGTAATACTGTATCTGGAAAACATATAAGTGAAAATGTATAATTTCATGAAATGAACTTCAGCATACTTGCAAAATTTTCCAGAAGACACTTATGTCATCAGCAGTCTTCATTACATAGGAAAGAAAATAAACCTGAAGAAAACACAGCCACTGTTGCAAAGATCAGACAATTAAGTGGTTTTGTGGCTAGTGATATGTATGCTATTATCTATTATATTTTGTATATTATTGTATGTTAAATGGTATTTTATACTATTTGATCTGATTCAAGGCTACGCTTTCTGTATTTTACTTCACTGCTGTATTGAGATTAAATATAAGCAGGTATTTTACAAATACTTATACCCCAGAGATAGCTATTTAGGTTCTATTTACCTGAAAGGAAATATAAGGATTTCCTACATCAGTTAATATCAGCTTCCTGCATATTTAAGTGAAAGATAGGGTACAAGACAGTTGAAATCATTCTCTCTTATGAATTTAAAATTAATGATGAATTTGTATCTTCTATGTTCAGTCTTACAGTTCTAAAAAACTTAAAAGAGGGGAGTAATATAAAGTGAGCAATTCGAAATCCCTTCACAGCCTACTACACACACACAGATACTCTAAATGTTCTATTGTGAACTGGTCTTTTTTTTCCCTTTTTCAAAATTCTAAGTTAAATAAATCAAAGTGATCAAGAGGAATGGAAAAGGAGCTACAAGAACTCAGCCTGTTTCTCCCAGCAAAAATAGCTTCAACTGGACACTATTTCCCTCAAGATGCAAATCAAGGATATGAACAGCAAAAGGGAACAGAGCTATTTATGGCAAAGCCAATGCTGGCACACAATCAAATGAATACAAATCAGCTGAGAATAAATCTATGCCATAAAATCCAACAAACAAAAGGAAGAGGAGCAAGGCCCTGAAAAATCTTCCTATAAGGAGTAACATATCTCACAAACCTACTGGTTTCAGGGGAGGGCATCTGACTGATCTCCAAAATGGACTGATAGAATCACTGGCTCATTGGGTTCAATATACTAACAGTACTCTTCCAGTTGTGCTTGGATCAGGCAGGACATTGGGATTTAAGAGCTCTCCTAGGAACTTATCAGGAAAAAAAAATAACCCATTTTAAATCCTCATCACTTTTCTTTAAAGTAGGGTAAGAGAAACAAGTAGTTTTAAAGCTCATTCACGATTAATTTAATTACTAAGCAAAATATATCTTACAAGAATTTTCAAACTAATTTCAAAGCACAAACCACTTCTTTCTAAAAAGAAAAGAAGACACAGAATTGCAGGAAGGCATACTCACCACCTTCCATCTTTCTTTGACCAATATTCCCACACTGAGGATGTCAGGCTGATCCCCTCCTCCACTCATTGCAACCTCCTGAGGTGATGGAGCTGCTATGCAAAGTCTGCGTCAGTAGAAACCATCCAGATCCCAGGAATGGCTTCCATTTAACCAGTCACTGCAGAAACAGAGCAGAAATCAGTGATTAACAGAACAACAAGATATACAGCAAAAGTTTTGTTTCTCATCCAGCATCTTAACTAGCTTTTGCATCCCACAGTGACTAACATTGAAATTTTAGTCAAACGGTTTCCAGTACAGAAAAAAATTCAAGGATAGGCTTCCTTAATTTTCCAACTTGCTCTCTCCCACATCTCCAATACCAATCTCAATACAGAACTAATAAACTTAAACATTTTTAGCGGTATATTCCACAAGCAGTTTCAAATTGCTGCAAGGTATAATTACATTTAAACCTAGTTTTAATAATCCCTTTTAAAAGTAGTAGCTAATTAAATAATCTAATTAATATCTTATTGAATAATTGTTTAATTAATTTATAGTAATATATAACAACATTAAAATAATATTAAGCAAAAAAATTACTATGTTAGAAATAGATACTTAAGTTTCAGTTGCACTGCATACAGACTACTTCACATTTAACAATGTGTTTCACATAGCTAGAATTATTTCTGATTAAATACATCTTAAGTACAATTATCTCAGGCTATAAACAACTGGTTTTGGTAAAGGAAAAAACCCTGTCTCTGGTAATTTTGACAGTTCATTTTTTTTTTTTTTCTGGTTTTAGCAATCATTTTAATGGATTATAGATAGTATTATAAAAAATTGTACTTTGGAGATTAACATATCCATAATGGCTCCCATCAGCAACTACTACAACCAATTAAAAGCTTATTTCAATTCTTTGAGCTTTTCTAGAACTGGGCTTATTGTTACACTAGTGTAATTATACAAATGTAACTGTTTGTATAAGCCCTCTTATCCAAAGACAATACTCTTTGAAAAGTATGTTTGCTTTAGGTTATTTCCATGGCTTTCAAAATAGCATACCTGCAAGTGAACAATGCTTCTCTCCCTGAATCAACACACAAATGATATGCAAAATGGGTAAAATAATTCTGATTTAAATCAGCAGTATGGCCTTCCATGTGGCTAACTGCCAATCTTACTACTGGGACTAAAAGATGCGTTTTTAGTAAACACTCCACTGCTTGAGCAACCTGGCTTTTTAAGACAAACATTTTGTTTGACACGACAGAAACTGTGGCTGTTTTCCATGTTTTTTTGATATTTCTTTTTCATGTTGTATTTACGCCTTTTTGCTTAAATTGGACATTATGACAGTTGGACCAACTCCAGATAAAAGAAACCCCTCTGGAGAAACATTAATCTGGATTGGTTAAGGATCTAAATTTACACCCAATGAGAGTGCATTACGTGCCTGTAAAGGAGTGTTCATTCAGAATACATAGCCTAAATTGATTTAATTCAAACAAATGAAGGGAAACTAAATTAAGATTGTGTATTACGAGTAACAGCATCCATCCTGCAATTTAATCAGGTTGAACTAAACCAATTCAAATTCTACTGGTGATAGTAAATTCTCCCCTGCAGATAAGGTCAAAATTCTAAAAAGAACTAGAGCCATTTATGTGAACCCCTTAACATTACTAACCACTGACCACACTCACTGTCTTTTCTAACAGAATTATCATAACACACTCAGGAACAAAGATGAAACAAAAACCCACTAATGAAGGGGAAAAGATCTATTTCCAAAATTACATACTTAAAGCACATACAGTGGCTTTTCCCCTTTTCCCCATTTTAACTCAGATGTTTGCTTTTCTTTCTACCACCTGCCAGTTACATCAAAGCATGGGTTGGTCTTGACAAATTGTTCACTTCTATACTGGAATTCCAAGAGGGTTTATTTTTTTCCTGATATTTGCTTAAAACAAGTAATGGTGAAACTGTTCATCTTACCAGAGAAAAATCTAAAATTGCAAGTAAGATTTTTGCTGAACCTTTCAAACACGAACAAAATTCATCACCTGTAGGAAAAGTGCTTTATTAAATCAAAGATATGACAGTTCAGAGTTTTTTGTTAATTCTTCTATCAGCCTTGATTCCTGATTTGATACTTAATTTTTTTCTTTTTTTAACACATTTAAATTTACAATTTATAGCCACAACTCTGACAAGTATTTCTGGCAGCTCTGCATTTGTGAATTCTTGAGCAAACTAAGAGAGCATCAGCAACTGGCCCAGAATGCAAAGGTCCAACACATACATTCAAAGAACCACCCTGTATTCTAAGAACTGTTGTAGAAATATTCTATTGCTGTATGTAATATCTGCATGGCCAGGGTAACAAAATCTTCATTTGTACAGAATTCCTCACTCCTATTCAAATACACTAATTCCTTGTTAAATCTCTTGTCATCCTAGATCGTTACAAAGCAACTATATGTATTCTATATCATCAAAACCAGGTATTCAACACCATAAAACACCAGGATCCATTGAACTGTCCTGCATGGGAGGCAGAAGTTCTCTCATGAGCCCCTGAAGACAAGGTGCTAAGCTCCTCCTGAAGCTAAATAATCAACTGCAAGCATTACAAACATATTGATGTCAAATCAAAGAATCCTATTTTTTTCAAGACTTCAAGTAAAGCAGAAGAAGGATTCAGTGACAAATTTCAAGGCCAGAAGGTTTGAAATTGGCCCAAACCTTTACCTGATCAGGCCACTTCATAGCTTCAACCTGTTTCAGTGAATTAGCACACACTAATATGTAAGACTCCAAATGTTCTTCACTGCTAACATGTTCCAGTATGTTTCTTTCCTCACGATAAACATAACTTGCTTTGTTTCAAGGTTTAATGCATTTAATTTTAACTTTTTACCACAGGTTACAGTTTTGGTAACCAAATTCCATTTCCAGTAATTTCACTTCATTTAAACACCTAAAAATACTTTTTTAACTTCCTGTAAATTAATACATTTAATTTTAAGCCTTCCTTCACAGCCATGGGGTCTTTTATATGGTCCTCCTTCAAAACTCCTCTCTTTGCTCCATATTTTTCTTGCGGTGTGGACATTGAGTTAGACATCCACACTGAATTAGACTCTATCATACCAATTCCTAATATGGAGAAAAGTTTTTCTTATTACTTCTTCGTGATAGAAGTCTTATTTCCCTAATTTAAGCCTGAAAATGCTTTATACTTTTGCTAAACCACAACACTATCAGACACTTTTACACTTATACAGTTATACCCTATAACACTTATACACCTCCATCCTTACACTCAGGCATATTCCTGCTACAAGAATATGGTTTCTAAAGACCTTATTCACAATCTGACCTAGGCAGAGTTTCATTGCTCTGATGTGTTCTCTAATGGTCTTAACACTGTATAAACTGCAAATCTGTTAATTATTGATGTACTGCAGTAGATAAATATCTTTATATTCCTTACCTAGTAACAGATAACATGTACTCTAGTAGGTGAAATTTAGACTACAATCACCTTCCCCAAATTTATACAGAAGAAAAGGACATTACTAGAGATGACTACATGTAAAGGACTTTTGGACAGATATAAATATGCATTCTTTGGAGGTGGTTCACAGGTCAAGATTGAAACTGAAATTTCTCTGAATTTGGAAGGATTTGAATTCAGACTGACTGGCTCATTCCAAATTTCACAGATGAATTAAAGACGCATAAAAGTAAATACTGTTGCATTTGTATTACTGAGATACATTGTTTTCAGCACAGCTCTTCAACAGGCTATAATACTGTTAACAATTTAAGAAAGCTCCAACATGTTCTGTATTCTACTGAAGCAGATGAATAATTAATGACACACATGTAAGGTGCAAGCTTTGCCTTACTCATTCAGCAGATGAATCCTTTAGCAGTGCAGTTTTTTAGGTGGCAGTAAGGCTATTTTCAGCAAAACAAACATGTCTTTACAATTCTCCTAAAAAAGTAACAGTCATTCTAATCGCAATATATATAATTAAATTCTGTATTCATGAACTCATCAGTTTGTCACTTCAGAGGCACTTTCCAAGATAACACAACTACAATGAAAGACAATTAGCCCTCTGTCAAATTTATTTCCAGGTGAGAGGTCATGGAGTAATTAGGACAAGAGAATGAGGATAGACTGTTCCATAACATAAGCCTTTGCTGGGAAATGATTACAGTATAAAACAAGAACAGGTAAAGGAGCATTAGAGCTAATATCCAGAATGCTGTACAGACATCCATTATTTAAAACCTTTCTATTCACTTTAACTGATTTTAACCACACATTAGCCTTGCAAAAGATGAATTTACCCCATCCAAGTACACTAAGAGATAATTTGAAAATAACAGTGCAAAATTTCCAGAAAAAAAGGGCAATCCTTTAATGTAATGTGTGCATGTATATAATTCCCTTAGAGATAGCCTAAACTGAAGCCAACTTCTGCTTACCAGCCTTTATAGATGCTTAGATTCAGACCTAAGGTTGAAAAAGTAGCACAGACAATTTTGGCTTAATGTAGGTACTGTAAGTTCCAGGACAAAGCAAGGGAGCACAGGAGATTACTTCTGTTCCGTAGAAAGGAACATATGTCGTGTTGCCTCCACTGTGGAATAGTATTGACCTTTTGCTATTAGGAACTCTCTGAGCATACTAGGAGCTCTACTTGCCTGCCTTTAACTCATTCAAAAAATTAGTAAACCAGGTGAAATCTGCCTAAGATGTTTTCCATTTCTGTATTTTCTATTTTTAAGAAGAACTTGAACAAAGAACATTTTAAAAGGCCAGCATAAAGAGAAAATCAGGGCAGGAAATGTTCAAAGGTCGTAATTTCACCACATTTACAGCAAAGCCGACTGTCTTAGAAAGGCTAAGAACATGTTCAAATTGTTAATTCTAGGGCTAGAAATTATTTAAATGCGTCTACTTGAACATCCAAACTAGAAAGTCATCTTACACTTAAACCTGAATATTTTCTAAATACATCCATTAAAAGCTGGTGTTTTGAAAAATCATC